CTAGACCATGAGAGATCCACCACCGTAAGGAACTGATGCTCTGATGTTATTAGGCTCATAGGCATTATTCTTGGTCCCCTAGACTCGCTGACGCCCGTCCGTGACGTGCAATAAAAAATGACTCACATTTGACCAATGCACCTTCTTCAATGACGTCAAATTCTAATGACTTCGGGGTAAACACCACTCCAAATGATCTCTCTTGTGAAGATTGGTCACGGCTGGTTGTTTGGTCACCCTTCTTGCCCCTTTCTTACAGTCCCATTGCACAGAACCTGTTGGGGTGCTTCAGGACGCCATTTGTAGCGAAAGGCTGACGTCTCGCATCGCGATCCAAACCCTTTTTCCAATGTGTATTTCAGTACACCAGGGTTACATGTTTGTACAATTAGCGTTGTTAGTGTGGATTCTATTGCGGTTTCTTCAAGTATATCGAATAAATCTTCTTTCATTTCCGTAGTATCTGTTGTTTTTAGTATGTTTTCGGCCATCTCATGGTTAGTTTCAGTTTGCTCGGCGCATAATGTCTTAATGTATAAAGTTCATTTCTTTTTTCTTTTCCATCAGTTATTTTACAGTTATTACTATCTACTATCCTTAACTCTCTTCTTTGAGGGGCGGTGGGATAGCCTAGTTGTTAAAGCGTTGGCTCGTCACGCCGAAGACCCGGGTTCGAATTCGCACATGGGTACAATGTGTGAAGCTCATTTCTGGTGTCCCCCGCCGTGATGTTGCTGGCATATTGCTGGAATATTGCTAAAAGCGGCATAAAACCAAACTCAGTCAGTCAGTCAGTCTCTTCTTTGAGGGTCGACCTGCCCTTGGTCAGTCCATAACCTTGTTGGTTTGACGGTGTTTTCGACTTATGATGGTGTGGTGAATGTCAAGCTGTCGTCCAATAGCCCTGCATGACATTCCGGTGTCGTGCATTCCAATAATTTGCCATATTCTTATTCCTGGTAGTCTCCTTCGTGCCATTGTAACAGATACTGGTAAAATCATTAAGAAGTTTTAAGTTTTTATACAGTTAGCTGCATTGATGTTAATAGTGCTTTCTGAGACAATCGTGGGTAGTGTGCTTCAACTGGATATTGAGATGTGTTTTGAAGATTGATTTAGCAAAACCCTTAAACAATATTAAAAGGAAATACAGTTCAAATAATAGTCACCGTTACAATTCAAGATTTATCATTAGGTAAGTCAGTAACTTAAAATATGTTAGGGGGTGCTAAATTAAGTTCCATGTGTATATCTTTATTTTTTCGTGATTCTTTTGATCAACTCAATCTGGGCATGGGTTCAATTGATGTAATATCTGACAGGTGGCAGACAGCTGCATGTGCAAACTATGCAGTCCCTAAAGTTAGGTTGACAGACTATATAGCTTTATATATTCAGCCCTACCCAATATACGCACGCTGTAAAATGTACTTTAAACGTCAACATTGCAACGAAATCAACATGTCAAATATGTCCGAATGGAGGAGGGACAGAGAAAAAGCTCTCAGCGTAATGGACAATGGGCAAACACATCTAAATCCGTTCAAGTTCAATGAAACGCCACATAACTAGTGTGATTAAACACACCCTGCTTCAAGGCAAGCAACAACTCTCCGGTGCACAGAAAAAGTCGCTCATACTGTTAATGTAGCAGCAGTACACATCTGTGTAAAACATAAGAACTGATATTTGTATCTCTTTTGTATTTCTGTTTACCGTGCGTTACCAGCATCACCTTAGGTACAGTGTGTTTGAAAGGAAGCTCTTAGCACAAGGTGGACATTGCTGTTACTCGCAACCCCTGTGAACGTGCTTATGGCTGTGCTTAGGCCTCTGGGTATGTGCCAGGTGAGAAGTACTAATGAACACTTGATGGTTACCACACTTGAGTAAGGAAGACTTCCGAGTTTGAGAAAAGTGATAGTTTTACTGCAGCGACGGAATATCCTGCTTTGCCCAAAATAGTCCAAGATTTCTGTATACTATTTTGACACACAACACAATATATGACCAAATGCATTTGGTCAGCAAGCATCGGAATCGGATGACCAGCTTCCCGCAGCCCTGTTGTTTGTGTGTCAGGATATCATTTGCATTTGACAACATGTTAGTTTCAAATTAATGGAAACTATTAAGCAATTTAGAACAGTGAATGTTACATTGGTAAAAGTATCATGTGTTAATACCCTAGTAATGCACATAAAATCCGTATTTAAGTGTAGTTTATAAGCTTTCCATGATTTGGACATGATACAGAAATGAAGGTGGAACAATATAATACAGGGTTTGGTTTTACAGTAAACGGAATTCACACGTGTGGAAGCCGCGGTGGCTGAGTGGGCTAGGCGTCTGACTTTTTGTGCTGGCGATTAGGTGCCTGACTCTGAGGGTGTGGGTTCCAATCCCGGATGGGACTCAAACCAAAATGTACTAGAATCTGTACTTTACTAAGAAAGTGTAATCCCAAATATAACATATGTTTCATTTGACTACTTTCTAAACTTGCATCGTGTATTTCATAGCGTTTGCGATTGCTGGATTGGTTGTGGTGAATTTATGTATCATTTGTGCAATTCTAACATGAGTGAGTGAATTAATTTTACATCGCATCGGCAATATTACAGCCACATAGGGATGAAATCTAACATAAGACAAATAGCCAATTGTTTTAATTGACCAAAACCCTTTGCAGTTACTATTTGATGAAGCCGTTGAGTTCCTCAGATTTGAGGATCTACTAGTTGTATGTATTGTGATTTGGTTCTCGGTGGCCATATTGCAATGGTTGCCACTATTTCATTCAGTCTCTCCAATCCCATTATTTTCTACTCGTTAATGTATATTCAACAAAATGTCAATTTTGTTTCAGATTTCATGTCAGATTTCACCGATCTTACAGAAACTACGGTAACGTTGACGTCTTGTGATTCGGTGTGTGTTTTTATGGGTATGAACCAATAGGCGGCTATTGTTAAATGTGTGTGGTCCTGTGCATAGGGGTCAAGTCACGTGGATGGGTGACCGTGTTTGGGAGCTTGACACCTGAGAGTTTCTGGGACTTCAGTCCTGCCCCACAATGAAGCATGTGATGCATGTGGTCTCACCTTAGGCAAGAAAGTTTGTTCATTATTGCCTCTGTTCACCCAGGAGAAAATGGGTACCCGGTGTGCTAAGTCATGTGCACGTGATTATTTAGCCTCCAGCACCTCACAGGCAGTTTGGATATCTGTGGTTATAATAATCCTGCGCTACGACCACACTGTGTCTTTTTAGCGCAATATAAATGGACTAGTTACAATTATTTGTACTTTCAGCACGGACATCATGCCCAGGGCACAAGAAAATGGGATATGTGAGTGCGCGAGTTCAGATTTTAAGTCACATTGGCAATATTTCAGCCATATCGTGACTAAAACAAGGATAGATTTATAATGATTAAAAATATAATTATAAACCTGTCAACGAAGGACTGCAAAACAACTAGCGTATCACAGATATACAACTAGTGATTCAATTTAAAACAGTTCTGAAATTCTTGGAATAGAAAGGGTACTGACGCATTTCAAATTAACGTTACATGGGTTTGGAGCAAGTGAGTTAGTTTGGACGAACGTCACTTTGGAAAGGTGTGTCATGGCGTGCCGGGTTATTGGAGGAGGTTGATCCCTGGATTGTCTGGTCCAGGTAGGAAAGGTACCTGCATGGACCCTAGTTGGAATTATACCATCTCTTCACTCCCTGGCGATTGTAGGAAATTTCAGCCAAAATTCAAATCTCAAAAATACTACGTTTAATTCCTGGTAAGTTTAAATTGACTTTGGAAGGTTTGGGACTTGCGTACCAAATGGGATATGTGTTGTATGAATCCATTGTGTTGTAGTGCTAAATAAGCGGACAGTGCGTCAGTAAAAGTTAGCTCACCTGAATATGTGTAGTTAAATGTGTCTTGAGCTCAACCACTAACTCGAAACGTAAAAAGAATAATAAAAAATTGACTTGATTTGTTTTGTGCAGTTCGTACAAGACAATGATCTGATGTTCAGTGCACTGCCGAGTTTGTCATGTTAGCATCCCTCTAATGATCTTCGGTTTGTAAGTACTATGGGTGAATGAGTTAATATTTAACGTCACATCGGCAATATTTCAGCCATATGGTGACGAGAACATATTTGACATGGAAATGGAATATATGTATATTATAAAAACCTGTCGACTAAGGACAGTAAAACAACTAGAATACAGTTTAGACAATGATCTGATGTTCAATGCGCTGTCGAGTATGTCATGTTAGTATCCCTCTAATGATCTTCCGTTTGTAAGCAATATGTAGCATACATGTGGTTTTATATCTGGATCATTAGAGTGAGTGAGTGAGTTATTATTTAACGTCACATCGGCAATATTTCAGCCATATGGTGACGAGACATGGAATATACAATATGAAAACAGATTATAAATCGCCAACAACTGAAGGTAGATCACCATAGTAGGGACCATGGTGACTTACAGTACCTTTGCTACCTGCATGGACCCTAGCTGGATTTACACAATCCCTTCAGCCGCTGGAGATTCTATGCAAATTAAGCCGAAATTTAAAAGAACAAAAATACTACGAATAAAGGGTATGGTTGAGCTAAATTGACATTGAAAGTTTTCGGACTTACGTACCCTCTCAGGAGGACAATAATTCTTGTTCATTAGAAATGAATCCGTGAAGATCCGGATTAGAATTGGTCTTCAACAACCACGCTTGTCGTAAGAGGCGACTAACGGGATCGGGTGGTCAGGCTCGCTGACTTAGTTGACACTGTCATCGTATCCAAATTGCGTAGATCGATGCTCGTATGTTGATCACTGGATTGTTTGGTCCAGATTCGGCTATTTACAGAACGCCGCCATATAGCTAGAATATTGCCGAGTGCAGCGTTAAACAACAACCAACCAATATACAAAAGGTCGGTGTCACATACGTAGCGAAATTAAAGACTGATTTAACTTACCTATTACGTCTGACGCAGTGCTGTGTGATAACAGATGTACGTGGGCCCACGTACGTGTATATATACATGTTTCAATTATGTAAAAATGAAGATTGCATAATCTCTATGCATCGTCTCTATGATCGTTACACATTCACAATGTAACAGGTTTACATGATTTGAATGTGATTATCATCGTAATCACTGACAATAAGACAAATACATTCATGATATTGACTGCAAATGCCCTCCTTTGCAATTCTATTTATGTGTTAATCGCATGCTTGATAAAAGCATTATCTTGAAAATATTGTCGCTACCTCTGGTTTTATCATTAGGTTGTCAAATTGGAGTTCTTGTTATTTTAAACAATGCCCAAAGTGAGTGAGTATGGTTTTATGCCGTATGTTAGCAACATTACAGCATTATCACGGCGGAGGCCGGGACGTCAGAAATGGACTTCACTCATTGTTCCCATGTGGAGAATCGAATCCGTGTCTTCGGCGTGACGATCGAGCTCTTAAACCACTAGGCTACCCCACCGCCCCATAACGCCTAGAAAACAGATACACACCGTGCATACCACTCACAAGGTAAATTCTGTATAACAAATGTCCACTGTATATATCCCACTTATTACTTATTACTAATAGAGGACCACATTGCATAGACCCAACAATGTGTCTTGTTTATTGTCAGTCAGTCAGCGTTACGTCCACGACAATCATCGTGGCTTGGTAAATATTCATGTCTGTCCATTCCGGTAGCAAAGGTACTGAAAGGCGTAAAAGTAATGTCTGAAATAGAAAAAAAATCTTCTTTTTTTTCACATTTATATCTACAATTTATGAAGTTTATATGAGAAAGTATGAAATATCTGTTAAACTACGTCCGGCCTAACTACAGTCTCAGTGGTAGGGAGATAGGAAACGTCAAAAAGGACTTTACAAAAGGAGAGATAAGGGCAGAAATGAGCAATGCGTTTTTTCCTAAGGGACGTAAACGGCATGTCATAACAATTTATAAATAAGCCAGTCCTGTCGATCTTCAGGGGGGTCATGCCTATATATTTTCAGAAATTTAATATGATGACTGATTTAAGCTTTTCTATCGGTGTCATACCCTTTTACAGCACTGTAGGTATCAAATGGCTAGCGATAGACGAGGGTCATGAGTTGAGGCTAAGTAAAGGATTTTGTGATCTATCTTTATTAATGTGCAATATTGTTTATTACCCTTAAAATAAACTTGTCAAATTCTGATTGGTTAATAGCCAAAGCATACGAAACCACAATGTAGGCGGATTTGCCAGGCTGTACGAACCGTACACCCCGTCAAATCTGTCACGTGAAACACTACGCGGGTTGCACGAATGACCTTGACCTTAGATGGAATGTGGGTGCCAGACGGCTGATCGCTCTGAAATGTTAGATTTGACGTATACAGTTATGACTATATGTGCTCTGTTTTTAACATTCATATACTTAATGGTCGATGTGGAAGTGACACAGAAGTTGACGACTTCACGTATTTAGGTTGAACTGACACTATTGTTATTGACTACATAATTTCTGCATCAGCAATATTCGACTATATTCTAGATTTTAGCATACAAACGAGAATTGAATCTGATCATCTTCCCATTACATTAAAAACTAAAAACAGTACACCCTGAGCAATCTAACACATCTACCAAATGTAGGAAATAGTCGATTAAGTATGTTTGTGATAACAATAAATTAGAATAGTTTAGAGAAAATATTTGGTCAGATAACATACAAGAATTATTAGATAAATCGATTGATTGTGCTTTCGTTAATATTAATGGTAGTATAAGCTATATGGCCGAGACACCTTGTTTGGTTGCTTCTTGCATGGAGAAAACAGTTAGCCCTCCCACAACAACAACAAATGGTTTGACTCTGAATGTGAAAGATTAAAATCAGACCGATGTAGAGTTCTGAATAAGTTTAGGAAATCGAAAGATAAAGAATCATATGATCAATATTGCGCTCTAAGAATTTTTTTAAACTAAATTTGTAAGAAAAAACGAAGAAAAAGAGAAGCAGAGAGAAATAGAAAATAGTATATCTGATTAAAAAAATTCTGGTATGAACTCAAACCTCTGAATACTAGACTTGAAGCTCAAAACAATATCGAAATGAATGACTGGCTAGAACACTTTCGGACACTCTTTAGCTCTTTACACACTGAAAATGACGATGTAACATGTGATAATTTCGAGAATGAAAACCCATCAGCTAAAAAAGATCCGAATTCAGAACTTACCGAGGTAGTTCTTGATTATCCAATTACTAGCGATGAAATCTTTGATAGCCTTAAACAGTTTAAATGTAATAAATCACCAGGAATTGATAAAACAATTTTCTAAATACTCAGCAGATCTCATCGTTCCATACTTAGATTTGCTCTTTAATTTGATATTAGAAAATGGTACGTTCCCCAAATGTTGGGCAATTGGCATAATAGTCCCTGTCCATAAGCAAGGTAACATAAATAATCCAAATAACTACAGAACAATAACACTACTGAGCATATTTAGTGAAACTTTCACTTCTATAATAAATAAAAGACTTGTAAACTGGGGAGACTCAAAGGATAGGATCAGCGAAGCGCAAGCTGGCTTCAGACAGGGATATACGACAGTAGTTATACTACAAAGTATTATTCAAATGTATTATATTTAAGGCCGGTATTAAAAGTAATCATAATTTCTCAGAAACATTTGACTTGCAACTTGGTGTAAGACAAGGCTGTATACAAAACCCATTTCTATTTTCCTTCTTCTTAAATAATGACAAGTCAAAAATTGTTGTATTAAAAACTGGAGGCAAATTGTCTAAAAAAGAAAACTGGTTATATAAAGGTATGAAGTGGGAGTGTATGGGCTTTTATAAATATTTGGGATTATATTTCACCAGTGGTCTGACATGGACGATGCATGTAAAGTATGCAGCGTTACAGGGACAAAAAGCATTAATTTGCATTATGAAACAGATGAGTGTACTTGGTAATATTAACTACTCTTCATTCTTTAAAATATTTGATGCCAAAGTAATTCCAATTCTATCATATGGAGCCGAAATATGGGGAATAACAAAATTTGACGAAATTCAAAACATCCATTTGTATGCTTGCAAAAAAATTATCAGAGTTAAAATTAACACTACTAACGCAGTGATTTATGGTGAATGCGGTAGGTATCCAATGCACATTCTTACAAGCATTAAAGTTATTAAGTACTGGCTAAAACTGTTGATTATGCCTTTAAATCGCTTACCCAAGAGTTGTTATAATATGATGTTCGTTATACGATAAAAGTGGACAAATAAACTGGGCAACTAATGTAAAAAACTTTCTATATTCTATTGGTTTCGGAATTACATGGAATGCCTAATATGTTGAATCACCTACGTTATTCATACAATCCTTAACGACAAAACTAAAAGATACGTATATTCAAACATGGCGTGAAAGAATATCCTGATCAAATAAATGCCTGTATTATTCATTGTTTAAAAATGCCATAGTCATTGAGTCATATCTATCCTGTGTTAATATAAAAAGGTTTAGAATAGCATTGGCAAAATTCAGATGTTCTCATGATTTGTTGATTGGAAGAGGCAGATATATGAATGTAAAAAGAGAAAATAAATTTTGTACACTTGTTAATTTAAACGAAATAGAAGATGAATTACATTTCCTCCTAATATGGTCATTTTATGACAGGTTGCGAACCAAATATATTAAAAGATATTACTATGTCCATCTAAACGATTGGTCACATATAACAAATGATCAGCCACTATATTGAACAGTTGAGATACCGAACGTTCTATTCGGGAAATTTGATGACGCCCTATCACGAGACTCTTTGTTTTATGTCTATACACGGAATATGTATTATACAATTTTTATATGTAAGTTCGTATGATAACGTTTGTTTGTTGCATTAAATCTAGATGAAACAAAGTGCCAAGCTATGAATGTGCTCTATGTTAGTCACAGACTAGCGTAATAGTACTTTCCTTAAAATATTCAGTATACACTAGAAATGTATCGCCAAAAACGCTGATATCGTAGAAGATTATAAAGCATGTAAGTAAATTCTTCTTTACAGTCTGTCATTATCATAGATGTTTTGTAAAATTAAACCATACCCAATGATATTAGCGAAAGTGAGTGAGTGAGTTATTATTTAACGTCACATCGGCAATATTTCAGCCATATCGTGACGAGAACATACGTGACATTGAAATGGAAGATATGTATATTATAAAAACCTGTCGACGAAGGACAGTAAAACAACTAGAATATCACAATTACAACTAAAACTGGGCAATACTGTCGGTCTTCAGACACACACACACACACACACACACACACACACACACACACACACACACACACACACACGTGGCTGCCTTTACTTGTACCGTTTCTTTGAACGCCAGCTGGAGCGTCCATTTTAACTCTTGGAGTTACGGGTGTTTGAAGTGTGTATTTAAGGGCTTGAAAGCGTCCAAAACGCAGGCAGAACACGTTTTTGACACGAGAGCGGATCGGTGAAATGCAGCCGGGGTTGCGGGGGTCGTGTACCTTTTAAGTAGTTCCCACAGAAGATATAGTTCTCTCTTTAACTGACCGTAGCTCCGCTGTTCTTGGGTCTACGGTTCAAAACGATTAGTGTTCTGGCATCGCCACGAGCCGAGCTATCTGACGCATAGACGTATGTGCATATACTGCACTTGTGAAACAACCACAGATTTATGTGTGTATATAGTGCATTTCTTAAACACCCATTCACAAATTTGAATTAAAACTCATTTCTGACTCTGTACTTGCAATGTTTATTAATGCAAACTTGTTCTCGACACTGTATGGCTAGGATAATGCCGATGTAATGTAAAGGTCAATTCAAGGGCAAGTATTTTTTGGGGCATTGAATGACGTTGCAGCAAAGATTTGACAGCTCCTTGTCATTGTTAATTACATCTGTCGGTGAAATTCACATCGTCT